CGTTTACTACACACACACACACACACACACACACACACACAACTGTGTAGCACAACATGCGCCGGGTGCCTCAAACTTCAGGCATAACGTATTGTGGTGGATACGTGCCTCCGATTCATGTTGGCATTCGTCGTGTGATTCAGTCCAGCCAGAGTAAGGGCCTGCGGAGTGTTCTGGATCAGTACGAGGATTTTAGACTGGTGCAGCAACTCCGCAAGAACGGGCAGGGTAATTACTACCGTTACCAGCAGAGGCTGTGGTCATCGACAGAGGCGTTGGAGCGTTCCATGACCGAGCGGCTCTACAGCTCCACAGAGCGTTCACCACTAGCGCTGCTACCGCAACCAAAACGGGCAGGTTCTAATCGCACGTTTATCCTCGAAGGGCATGGTGCAACGGCGCTGCTAGAAGCCACAGAAGCGACGCTCGCTCAGAATGCTGAAGAAACAGCAGATGAAAGCGTAATATCAAATACTCCTTTGAATAACATGGAGGAATTGCTCGCTGAGCAGCTGTGTGCCGACTATCAAAAGGGCATTGGAAGTAAGATCATTACTGAAACTGATTTAGAGGGCACGGTGATGGAATCTCTTCGTGAGCGTACTAGACACGTTATTGAAGAGGACCTTGCGGTTAACGCTTTGGTATCCTCATCTTCGTCATCCTTGCCTGCAGCATGGAATTCGCGTCGCAAGTTGCCGTCAGCAAAGGACGAGGGAGGTGTGGCGTGGTTTTCTCTTGGATTGGACCCGGTTCTGAGTGACAGGGCGCTCGCCAAGTACGGCCCAGCACCTACACGTCTTCAGTGCCGTCTGCTTTTGGCGCTTCTACACGAGGATCACAATGATGTTCTCTTTAATGGGGTAACAGGAAGTGGCAAGACAAGTGGGCTCCTTCTTGCCTTACTGCAGTGTGTTCGATCCGAAGCAGTGGGTCTCAACGTATTTGTGGCAAAAGACATGCTGACGGCATTGCATGCACACAGTCAGCTTCGAGCAATTTGTGGTTCCTTGGGAGGGACAGTGGTGGACCGTCCGCGGGATGATTGGTCGTGGATGTATCTAGGGGCCCATCGAGATGGTTATGAGACGTACTACCGCGCGCTTCAGCGTTCATTGCAGAGTGATCATGGTCCAGTGCGCATCTTCATTACAACCGCAGACACCATGTGTGAGTTGTTGTTTGAAAAAAAGATGGAGTTTGAGGCCTTTGGTTACTTGAGACGTGTGTACGTCGATGATGTTGGCGTACAAATACCCATGCTGCCACCTAGTGCTCCAGTGACGAAGGTGCGGGAACGTTTGAGGAATCCACTAGCTTGCGAGTTGCTCGTGGGAACACTGCATCAACTTCCAGGGCCGCACATTCGTTCTATCTTACAGCTTGGATTTGTGTCGGCTGATATGGATGAGCATCTCAAGGACCATTTAAAAGCACTCTGTGTGAAACTTGAGCGGCACACCATTGTTCTCTCGTCTGTGTGTATTCCTTCCACAATTCACTGTCTTTTTAGCTTCTATTTGTACCACGAGGATGCCTACGCGTACCTTGTAAAACTAATTTGGAATGCCCGGAGCACCATCCCCGGACGTGCCGTGATATTTATTCGCTACGAGGATGACCTGTTGCAGGTGCGCGCAAAAATGCGCGGTCTTGGTATGAATGTCAAACTTTTTTCAGAGGTTTACCATGATGGTGAGTTTTGTGAGAAGTGGAAGTTTCTGCTTCTTCGGGAGTCTGAGGCGTTTGGCATTGACATACCACTTGTCTCTCATGTGTTCATCACTTTTTGTCCCCGCACGGCATGCTCCTTTCAGCACATGTGTGGTCGCACCGGTCGGCTAGGAAATCTTGGCTGGGTCTACACTGTCACCGACAAGCGTGACGCCAAACGTGTGCGGGAGATTGCCTCTCAGTTAGACGTGGATTTCAGCAATCACGTTGTCGATGTCAAGCTCACGCAGGTTGATGCAAAGGATATTGACCGTCAAACCAAGGAGTACGAGCTGTACGGTCTCGACCCTCAATACGCAGTAAGGCAGCATTATATTGTGCAAAGTGAAAATCCTGATATGGCGTACCGAAGCCGCGAGTTTTTTAGCAAGCCTGCCCGGAGACAATTTCAGCTGGAGGATTACACACCAGTCCCCGTCCTACATCGTCGCTTTATCAACGCGAAGAAGCTCGCCACGGATGTGAGCCGTGATCCAAGCGTGGCGGTGTCACTTCAGCAACAGAACATGCTTGACCAAAAGTTGCAACCAACCAAACGGCTGAAATTTTTTCTCAATAAAAAAAGCGGTAGATACGGCACATCTTTTTATGGTGGGAAGAACAACATTCCGGGTGGCCGATGAAAGGCGGTAATTTAAACATACTTATTGTATATTGCAGGTCTTTTATTGTTGTTAGTTTTTTTTTTTTTTTGGTTGTGTGTGTGTTTCTTTTCTTTCTTTAGCGATTTTACCGTGTGGGGTTTTGGCCGTGCCAGGAAAGATGAGAGTTACTGCGGTTGCTTTTGTTGTCGTTGTTGTTGTTGTTGTTTTTTTCGCTGAGGCGTGGGTTTCGGTTAAAGCTGTTATTCTTCCCTGCGCGAATATACATGCGTATGTGTGTGTCAGCCTCTACCCAACAAGAAACGAAATAGTATAGGGGTATTTCTCTTGTAAGAGTTGCCTACTGTAGAAACGTTGCGGGGAGGTATAATTAAATCGTCGTCCCCTTTGACGTCTAAATGGCTGACAGAATCAGTTGTAGTGAATAATCGACAGAAGAGAGGCCCCAGGCGGTGTCTAACTAAGAACGGGCCTATGCTACCCGTACAGGCTCAGAGAGAAAACGGCATTGAGGCAACCTGGTCGGGGAGACCCACTCGAAATGACGCCCCATTTGCAAGACATGTTGGTATCCGCCCACCCTCAAACGTGCAGGCGACGTACAGTATGAATGGCATGGTGTTTTCAGATCGCTGCCTGGACCGTTGCCAAGAACTTGCTGTGGAATGCAAAGAGCGTTCTGCTCAGTTAGCGACGATAGAGGTAGAACGGCGATGTCAACTTGAGGAAATGGCAAAGTTTTCAGAACATGTAAAGGCAAAAGTGGATTATCTACATGCGTTAGGGAGGCAAATATCCGGTGCTCTTGCGGAAGAATTAAGGAGAAATAAATACTTGAGAGAAACTGCAGCACAACGAAGATAAACATCAGTTCGTCATCCTAGAAAGAAATTATGTGTAACATTTGCAACGTATATGCATTCCAAGAACAAGTCAAGCTCATTGTTATTACTGTGAATGTATCACTTTCACGAAAGGTTTTCTTAATTGTATAAATATATGTACAAATAGCAAAACACAAACAAAAACAAATACCTATGTTCCGATGTGCACGTTTATTATCAACTTCTTTGAGAGCATGAAATTTGAGAAATAAACCCCCTCCCCTCCTCCTCTCCGTTGTTTATGCCAAGGATAGAGGCAATGCGTAGCGCCTTCAAGGTGGTGGTGCGCTGCCGTCCACAGCTACCGGAGGAAAAGAATGACAAATGTTGCCGTGTTTCGTTTGGAGCAAAAGACGAGGGTCGGGTGTTTGTGAGCGGCAAAGGCCAGGAGGACACGCGCTGTTTTACCTTTGACCGGGTCCTTCCGCCGGAGTCCACGCAAGAGAATGTCATGCAGGAGGTGGTTCCGATGATTGACCACGTTCTTAATGGCTTTCACGCCACTGTGTTCGCCTACGGGCAGACAGGGAGCGGGAAAACGTACACTGTGGAGGGCATTGATTACCTGCGGCACGGCAGCGGGAATCCTAGGCCCAAATTTAACACGCCTCCCCGACAGCACGGCATTATTCCTCGTCTCATCCAGCTTGTGTTTGACCGCGCACGACAGATGCAGTTGCAGGACGAGCATCTGCGGTTTAATTTTAGTTGTAGCTTCTACCAGATCT